GTTAAAGAATCCCAAATGTGCCAGAGGAGAATTTCCTGCTCATTATTGAGTCCAGGTTTTATCGCTGGTCTCCCGCTTCTGTCTGTGCACCGAGAAGTTTTAAGCGTTCAGTGTAAAGTAGCATGATGCCGCCGCGGTGAGGTGACAACATTTGTCCACAACATTTTTCTTCCTGCTGAATTGGAGTTCAATCGATGGAATGAAAACCTGGCACAATATGAAATAAAGCTGTGGTGCGACCTGACGTTATGCCATAAATTTTGAGTTAGTCAGGCAGGTGATAGCCATGGTTAGTTGGCAACCGCACAACCTGAAGTTCAAGTACGGAACTACAGATGATTTATTTGGTCTTTTATATAACTCACTTTGATATTGAAATGTTGCCAGCACACTAAACCCCAGGCACGACTGATAACATCTCTTCAAAGCTGTTTCATTCTTTGGAAACAGTAAAAGATTAAGACTATATGTTCTCTTTAATGTAAAAACTGTAAAAATCGAATCTAGTATTAAAACATACGCGTCAGCCACATGTTCTGTTAATTCTCAAATTAGAGAGACAAACTTTTAACTTTGAGCAAATTAACTGAGCCATAAAAACAAGGGAATTTGCTAATAGCGGAGGCTGATGCTGAAATGCTATCTCTGAGTTTAGGACGGCTGGGAGAGTTAATGGTGCTGAGAAATGTGCAGAGACTTGATGGTTTATCCTCAGATGCCAAACTATCAGCTCATCGCACCCTTGCACCTTGGCTTAATGGGGCTGAGTAAGTGTGCTAACTCCGTGAACTTTACCTTGACTGTGCACTTTAAGTGGTTTATCTTGTAAAGGCCCGAATGAAAACCTGAATAACCCCTTTTTCTACAGCAAAAATAAACAGGAGGAGAGACAGGAATTAATGGAGTAAACAGAAACATTTAAAGCTCAAGATTGTTTTCTGAAAGTTTACTATTTGAAGTGATGTCAAGTCTTATCCAGCCGTCTGGCACCTTGCGTTATAAGCACTCCTGTTTTCCCCATTTGTCCCGTTAACTCCACAAGGGCTTCGTGTTGATTTATCGGAGTGTTAAGAACTCGCATGTTTATGCCTTGCACCCTGGATGACACCATCTGCTGCTAATCTGTATTTCCGTCGTCGTCTGCACACAGCAGCCCATGCAGGACAGCTCGGGACAGAGTCAAGTCCAAAGACATTGATTTCCCTGTCTGGCTCTTCCTGTGTGGCTCCATCTGGATATTTGTATTTACTAGTCACTCTCCAACTCACCGTTCATGTTCATCCTCTACAGTTAGTGCATATATTGTATTCAGAGTTACTGAACACTGGGGTGCGTGCAAGATCATTCAAGCTTGTCTGCATAAGCTACGTGGGAGAAACACAGGAGGGCTAACACCTGTGCCGTTTCTACGAGACATTTTTTAAAAATATTCACAAATAAATGTATGAGAATGGTAACATGAGCGTTTGCGTGATAAGAGGAAAAATGTTCCACAGGCAGACACGTAGGGAGTAGTGTTGTCATATTCAGTGGTTGTGTTATCTCCCTGTCACGGCTCTGGATTAATGTAGTTTCTGACTAATTTCTGAGACTGGTGCTTTGCACGGCTCAATGCTGTGGTGTTTTTGCACGGCTCTTTTCAAATGTTTCTTTTGGGTGCTACATTGACAGCTTTCTGTTGATGAGGCTTCACTTTCAGTGGGTGGCTTTATTATCTCTGTTTAGCTTTAGTATCTATTGCTGCTCATGCGAAATGCCACTAGTTTCCATGCAAACTGCTGCTGCTGCTGCTGCTGCTGCTGCTGCTGCTGCTGCTGGAGCTATGGTGAAGAATATAAGTTTATGCAATATTTTGATAAAAACTGACTTTAAGTATCAAAAGTAAAAATCCTATTCATGATGAATGGAGCGGAGCAGCAGCTTATGTTATCTTAAGAGGTGCATTATGTGTTTGAATGTTGAATTTGGTCATAACAGTTTTTCTGAATTTATACAGCACTTGTCTTCTCAACACACTTTACATACAAGTCACCGTGCAAGAAGTGTATGTTCCGTAAAAAATTACACTGTCAGTTGAATAAATCACACACAATGTACACAGGGGATCAGAACAAATCTTAATACCTTCACTAAGGTGGTTGTGCTTTTGTTTGCATTTGTTTGTCTGTTATTTAGCAGGATTACACAAAAACTACTGGGCATATTACCAGGAAACTTAGTGAAGGATGCAGTGTTGGTCAGGAAAGTACCTGCCATGATTTTGAACTTTTAATTCTGAAAGTCTATCGTTTGGTTCTGTTTTGTGACTCCTTACTTATGAACGTTTTCCTTGTGTTTAGATTTGCGTTTATTCTGAGTTCTGTGTTTCCAGTTTTATTTTGAAGTTCTGATCCCTCATGTGTTTCTGTTCTGTTAACTTCCTGCCGTTGTGTGTTTCCTTCCAGTTGTGATTGTTGCCTTGATTGTTTCACCTGTTTGTCCTGTGGCACCTGTCTCCAGTTTGTCATCAGTTCAGTTTGGATTTAAGTCACGTCCTCAGTTCTGTCTTCGTCGAGCTGTCTCTTTAGTCTCTGCCATTTTAAGTTCCTTTTCCTGTCTGGTTTTTCCTGAACAGTTTCAGTTTGCCAGTTTGTTTCCTACTGAGCATGTCCATTATTTTGTGCTCAATTCTGGTGGGGATAATGCATTTTTTGATCCATGAATTTTTTCTCACTTTCTTTTTACATTTTTGTTGAATAATTCATTAAAAAACACAGGTATGTTTAGGGGACTAATATTTCTCTGTGTTTTAAATTTTCTGATCTACTGAAATGTGGTTTCATAAGGGGATTGTTGGAACCGTGAGGTAGTTGCTCCCTGAGTGTCATTCAGTCCAATAGTGACGTGTCATAAAGAAAGTGCCAGGATTGTTTTCAGTTTTGTTTTCATTAGGTCTCTTTGCTTCTGTCAGTCATGACGAGAGAAGGTAGAAGACAGTCCCACCCTTGTCTGAAGGACTGTTGTTGTGTGAGTCCCAGTTGTGCTTCTGTGGACAGACAAGCAACCATTGCCCATTATTCCCTGATGCCTAATGTCTTTCATGACAGATCACTACCAGGCTGATCCCCTGTAGCTGTTAGTTTACACCAGGTCTTTAAGGCAGCATTAAAAGCCCTCATCACGTGAATCACAGGAGCTAAACCGTAGATATATTGTGCCAGTCCAGCAATTAGCATCACTCATGTCAAAGATCATCCCTCCATTATCCTGGCCACTGATTTCTTTTAAATAATTAATGGGAGATTATAGAACCGGGAAAGCATTCGACTCGCATGAGTCACAGCTTTATGACAGCAGTTTTTTTGACATGTGCACAAATATTCCCCTCCCTCGACTTTGAGTTGCTTTGAGTTTATGAAAACAAAAGAGCAGAGATCCTCAGAGGTCTTCGGGGATCGTTAAACAACACGTGGCTTAGGATTTATATCCTGGTTTTCTTTATACAAAGTACACATGAGGGAGAGTGCAGGCAGTCCTGTATGCAGAGCTCAGGCCAGAGAGCCAGTGAACCAACAAATTTAACAGGCAATGTTGCAGACCCACACTGAGTTTATTTGAGTTGTTGTGAATGATGCTGAGATGAAAAGTGAATGACCAGATTATGAGTTCTGCACTGCGTTCCTCTGAAGTGACATTGTGCTTTGTTCAGTGCTGTCATCACATTTCCAGTGTCCTAGTTCTATTAAAAGTTGGAGACGTGCGCTTTCTCTCTGTCAAATCGAATGATAAAGTAATGGGAGAGATCAGACTTTGGACCAGATTGCATTATGATGCATGGGTGTGGCTACTCTTGAAATCCTTTTCAGTATAAACACGTCATTCTTCTGTGGTGAGATCCATGCAGGGAGTGCCCCCAAAACTACCTCACACAGTCAAGGAATGTGTGTGAACAGCAACATATCACTTTGCTTTGTGATCGTGAGCTCACAGGTTAAATCATTTGGGAGGAGATACTGACTCCTGAACACTAACACACATTCCAGCACCTTCAAATGGAGGGAGAACACAGCTTCATAAATTTACCCCAAAGACAATTTATTGTGTTTTTTGTTCCAGTAAAAAGTCTCAGCCAAGCTCACCATGACAGTGCAGGCTCAACCTTGCCAGTGCATACAAAGCACATGCACACACACACACACACACGCACACACACATTCAGTGCAAAATAATGACAAAAGAACAGGTACCATCCCATCTCAACCAGCCTCTTTAATATGTCTTTTTTGTTTATAGGAAACCTGGCGGCTGAAATTGTACAATTTCAACAGCATATTTTATCTGAGCTCGCCGCAGCTGGTGCTGCACAGAGGACAACTTTCACGGGCAGTTTGCCTCGGTATCACGCAGTCCAAAATGACACGGTAAATCAAACACAGATTATTGGATATTGGACGGGGGACAAGGCAGAAACGAGTCTTCTGAAAATTCACCTCTGTCTGAGGGAGTTAAGCCTATCAGGATGAATCATCATCCCCGTCAGCATCAAATAATGCGTCAAGTAAGCACGCATCAATATCTTCTCCTAACGGCCAGGGAATGAGCAATGCTTGAAATATCATTCCATTCTAGATAGGCAGAGTTTTCCTTTCACCCCTCTGAATACTTAACTGTTGGTTCTAACATGTCAGCAGAGAAAATGGCAGTGTAGCCGGAGATAATAATTGTTTTTCTGAAGGAAAAAAGATTTATGACCTAATCTCAAGAAAATAAAACGGTTGCCAGTAACCTTATAATTTTTTTTTAACCTTGTTATATATCTATAAAACTGAAAAACTTAATATTGAGACCATAAAGACTCCAGAAGTCATTTTGCTGTTAAATATTAAATATGTATATATATAAATATTTCAATGCAAATACAGCAATATCATCAGCATAGAATGCAACACTACAACCAGAAAATATAACTGTAGATCTATAATAACTGTAAAATTACTTGCATTTAGAAGGATGGAGTGATTTATTTATGCTTTATTAAAAAAACTGACAACAACGTAAATCTTACATTTCACATTGTCATAATCCCAGATTTTTATTCTGTTCTATTTCAGGTGTAAGTGAAATTTTGTAGAGAAGACAAAGAGGACTAAATGTAGAGCTCAAACAATGAGGATGGGTGTGTCAGTATGAACAGTAGTAACGTCTGTGTGTCTGGCAGCCTAAATGGTTGCACCCAGTTGATGTCATCGCTTTGTGTGCCGATCTGCTAAGTACTGTTCACAGTACGCAGTAATATAAAAGTAAAATATGTTCCTCATACTGAGCAAACAAAATCTGATTCTAGACCTATGTTAGGTGCAATTATCTGCAACTGACCAAATGTTGCATCACGATAATGTGGATAATGTGGTGGAATTGGTGAATGATACTCAATCAAAACACTGACATCTCTTTGGATCCCAGTGAAAAGTAAAAGTGGTCTGATGATGCACACACTGGGAGTTAAACAAAGATGAGCGCGCTGAAATGGGTGACACATTTGTTTGTATGAAAAAGCAGATCACACAAGAGTGCAACTTTTTAAAGTGAATGAGTGGTCAAACAGCAAAAAACAAAGGTATTGTGTTAACTGTGTGTCTCCTTTCCCAGTGAAATCCTAGCCAGGGGGCTGGTCCTGCTTTAACCAAACCTGCATGGTCCTTGCAGCAGCCTGCTGTAATTACCCAGTCATGTTGGGGATACTATGCACAGCAGCACTGGTGTCATGAGACAGAAGGGCCCCACTACTGGGCTGAAACAGTCTCAGCTTTCCATCCAGCGTTCCAGTCAGCAGCTAGGAAAGACACAGAAACAAACATGGCATGAAGTTCAGCTCTTACTCTTTTTTAGAACATTTCAAAGGCATTGTGTCACATCTCACTTTTTAAGACTCTGTTTAGAGGAACAAGTTGCATCACAGCACACCTGCCTCCTTAAATAAAACTGGCATCACCATGGTCCAGATACTGTGTGTCCTACTGAAATTCTTGATTTTCCATCAGACCATTTATTACTAGAAACATGGACCCTCTCTCCAGACCTCAGTTATATAACTGTGTTTGATCAAAAGTACCGGAGGTTCCTGCCAATCTTCATCATTGCGAAGCAGCAGATTAATAAGGCATGAATAAAACACCCATTTAAGCATACACATGTGCAAACACACACAGACAGCACACAATAGCTAACATGTGGCTGCCGACACAGACAAGCCCGAGCTATATTTATTTTAAAGCGGCAAGGATTATTTCATCTTTTTATCAGTCGGTAGAGCAGACGAGAGTGACATAGCATTAGCTCAACAATCAATCAGCAGCATCAGCAGCGATAGAAACCCCTAAACTAGGGGTTTAGAACGAGGCTTATGATAAATAGCTACTCAAATAGAGTATATAATACGATGGAACAATCATAATTCCAGGCAGTTGCTCACAAAAGGCTCCATTTTCAAGCAGACGCAATGTTTAAAACCAGGCCCTGTAACAAACCATTTAAAATCTATTTCATACTACTTCAAGCCAGGGACAATTGTACTACACATAATCTCACTATAACTCCCAAAGGATTTCACAAATCCAACAAGATGAAAAAGATGCAAAAAGAGACCAACAAAGTGCAAACTAAACGGGAACATATCAATGTCATTTATGGTGATTTCCGAGATTTTTGGATCAGTGTAAAGATGGAGTATATCTTTGAAGGGTACTAACAGTGGGAATCCTGGAAAACAATGATTTGCCAAGAGGTGATAAAAAACACATTTGATACAACAATAGCCCAACATTTTTTCCCATGTACTAAAGCTGTTTTATGCAGGAGAAATCTTTTACCAGCAAACAGATGCCTGTGCTGGGAATAATAGCTGAGTTCTGAAGATGACTCAAACATCACAATGACTAAAACTGGGGCTGATTTAAACTTTCATTGAAGGGTGACCCTTGCTGCCTCCCCAGACTTCCAGGTGTGCGTATGAAGAGGCAGCCAAGTAAATATATTACATCCATTTATTGTAGAAGTGTTTTCTAGTGTAAAAATGTTTGAGACTCCCACGAAACAAAGACTTTTGATGGCTCGTTTCACAAGCTCTTCCATCTTCAAGGAATCGTCATTCACCATGACCTTCTACTCAGGGACCTGAATGAACAATAGCCAAGCTGTCTGGTTCCTGCCCCTGGGCTGCTAAAATAGCTATTTAAAACTTAAAGAGGGTCAGAGAGCAGTTCCATTAGCAACCACAACTCTCTTTATCAACTGCCATTCCAAACCATTAGACTGTGGAAACGCCCACCTCCATGTAAACATGCAGTTTGGAGTCAAAACCAAATCCTAGATTGTCTTAAAAGTGATCACAATGTCATACACGTGCAATAAACATCTGAAATCCACCGCATTCCATCTCTGCAGTCATCCATCTTTGTTAACTGAGGCTGAAGGGAGCTGAGCTGATGAGGAGCGAAGGTTTCGGGCGAGCTTCAGGGTCAGAAGTCAGAACGTGTGGTGAGCTAATTCACTGTAGAAATGTAGAAGGGGTCATGCTGGGCCATCACAAGTGACTTATATAACTTTCCTCAACATCACACTTCTAAGGAAAGTTTTCATAGGTTTGATCTTCTTTTAAAGATTTATTTGCCATGTCAGATGTTCTCTGACACACACCCCCACCATTCCAGTTTTTCTTGAAATCTAAGCAGTTCAAGTCCAGTAAATAACCTGGTGCAGAGGTCAGGGGTTGAATTCCCCAAGGTAAAAAAAAATGTCACCAATAACCGAAAAAGCATGTATTTTTTCAGGGATTAAGTGTCTATGTTAGTTTCAAACTGAAGCAGTTGTGATTTTCCGGTCCAGCACCCACATTCAGCAGAACGCGATTGCATGACTGTGTATATTACAAAAGACTTTGTACAAATAGCACAATCACACAACTTTTATTTTTTATATTGCACATTTATACATTTAATCTAATTTTGGAATCTGTTTTTATTCTTATTTTATTACATTGTCTCTCTGCACCTTAAATCTTTTGTGCTGCAGTGTCAATTTTGAATTTCCACAATGGTCAGGGCACATCTTATCTTTAGAACATACATGAAAAATATGGGCTACATCTTCTTTTAAGATTTCATTTTAAGCAACTGTGGGATTGTAGACAAGGTTGAGAATTTCCACGGTGTGTCACACATATTACATAATCTAAGTTATTGTCCGGAGTGCTGCTTCAATACCACAGACAAAAGATCACAAATCAACAGTTCAAAGGAATGATTCGCGAATAAAAAAAATGATGATTAAGAATCCAATGTGGTTTAGATTTGTGTTGAACATTTTAAGTCAAATTCTGGCATTCTGGACGACAGAGTGTCCATCTGTAAAAACTGGTAGGAATATGAGCCTCACACATGCCAACAGGATGTTCTGAGGTGTTCGTGTTGAGGGGGAAGAATGATCCACATGAGAGCAGATGGTCGCCATGGTTATTTCTGCATGAGCAGGCAAACTGTGAGATCTATCAGTAAAAGAAGCCATAGGGCTGGGGGGTAAAACACCAGCAATAATAATCCAGTAGAATTGTATATATAATGCTATAACACATAATTGATCCACCTCAGATTTGTAAAATAATTTTCTGTTTGTCAAGTGTTTGTGAAGAAGAGTTTAAAACCACTACCTTCACTCCTTAACTTCACTTTAAACTTAACAGAATTCATAATGAGACATTTGTCGTGACAACTATCGATATCAATTGATGTAAACAATTTTATCTTGATATAATTAATTACCATATCGCCCTGACAGAGGCTATCGCTAATGGTGACTGATACACTACAAACTGTATGATCCTTAATTATTCTCATCCGATAGTTTTGTTGATGGCAGTTTAACGTCTGTGCAGTTAAATCATAAATCCTCAACTGATGCAATTTTCAGCGATTAGAGACCTTCTACATGGTTTTTAGCTATATGTGTAAATGTGAACTGACTTAATGCATTTAATCTACACACTCCGGCAAAAACAACACAACAACCCTCCTTGTAACTCTGGAACTGGACAACCTTCCCATTTCCTCGCTTCCTGTTCATTGCGGTTCCAGTTGTGCTGAACACAGTGGATTTCAGAAAGGCTGTCTCAGCTCAGTCTGTGTCTCACTCTGATGTGACATTCTCGACCAGACAGCAGAGTCCACCCCTGTATTTGCTGTCTGGCCACTACAGTAAGAAGAGAGCCGTTTTACTCTCTGGGGTCAGGCAAAGAGGAAATGAAGAAATGTATTTTTTAGAGTTATAATTTGGAGTTTCCTTTTTTATATACTTCTAACAAACACACGCGTATGTGTTTAAAATAAGCCCAGAAATGTCAGAGTGCAGGGGTGTTTTTGAAGTGGAGGAGGGTTCAGTGCTTTTCTCAGGAATACGTTCACACAAAGACACTGACAAATCTAGCTGGCTATGACTTGAGGTTATATTTTTCAGTCAATGATACTTTGAATCGATCGCTTTGAACCGGACATTTTTTAAAGTCAGATTCCAAAAAAAGTTAATTTTTTCTGGTTGTTTTGAAGATTAGTTTTGGGACTTATTTAATACAGATGTTAATTTGCTTTTAAATTAAAGCAAACAATACAATTCTTTGTTATTTTAATATGAGCTCATTGTTGTTTTATCCAGCATACAGGCAACTGAGAATACACAAAAACATCATGACATACAGTTGATAAAACTCGTGACCAACAGCTGAATTGAAACTCCGGTCAGTATGTTTAAAACTCTGCATGAACCAAGCACAGCTGGTTAAGGATTATTCAAACCATGTTTTCATTTCTGGAAATGTCTCCCACTGCACCTTCGTCTTCATGTCTCTCTATTCTCCCGCTGGCAAAAAAACATAGCAGAGAGCCATTCATTATGGTTTCTTCTTATTTTGGTTGTTACATTTATAATTAATACTATAAATGTGCACACAGTATCAACACTGTGTTTTAGGCAAAAATTAAATTGGACAATCATTTGTTTGCCTCCCACAAATCTGAGGAGAAATCATCATGTGTTGAAACCAGCAGAGACAAAGTCCCACTTCTTACCTGTGAGTAAATAACTTCTAAAATTTGCAAATCAACTTCTGTTGTAGCAAAATCAGGGTCCAACAAAGGCCAGCGTTACAGAGTTAACAGAAATATACCATGTGAAATCCCAAAAGGTTTTTGAAGAAAGTGAAGTGACAGTAAAAGTTGGAATCTTTCATTACAGAATAAACCTGAGGGAATGGACCCCAGAGCTAGATCTGCCTGCTTGATGGTCTTTTAAGTATTAGGGTGGAAAACATGAGTGAAAAATGAGTGGAAAATATGCACAGCATTATCTGTCTGAGCCTCGCATCGGAAGCTTCTCACAGCAGGAAATATGGAGAACATCTGGCCCTCCAGTCTGGCTGAAGAGCAAGGTGAGCACAGGTTGGGACACTTTTTGCCAAAGAAAGCTGGGGTTAAGGAAATACAGCAATGTTACCATTGTGATATCACAGAGTCTAGGTCTCAGTTATGCTTGAGACTAATGGGTCATTTCCCAGGGCTCCTTTAGTTTCTAAAAATCTTTTTATTTACCCATCTCTGTTTTGGATACAAACAAATGGAAAATAAAGATTGATATGTATGCATCCATTCCAGTCAGACATTAACGCAGCCACATCATGATTAACTCGAAACAGCCTCACACAGCGGAGCCAGGAACTCAATATATCAGTAGTAGATCAACTGTTTGAGGAACTGGAAAGAAACACATCAGCTAATGTGAAGAACGGCTTTGCATAACTCGTTATGTACCTAAAATCTTACATACTCAGTGTTAATGCTCAAATAAATGATGAGAGCATCAGCATTGGTCAAAGGTGTGAACCTGGATTTTACAAAGCTCCACTCCTCTGCAGCTTGTAATAATTATAAATGCTGATGTTATGCCAGATACTGAACTGTTGTTTCCCACGTCTAACTACTTCAACAGGCTGACAGGTTACATAAGGAGGGTTTCGACATCTCAAACCGTCAGCCTGAACATCTGAGAGTTGTTTACAGCTGTATTAATACAATCTAAGAGCCTGTATTGAACCACAGCATTTACTGAGCTCACAAGTCAACAGATCTGTCTCAGTGACAATTAAGTGAACTCTTGCCGATGACTTCATCAACGGTGGGATGGTACGTGGTACATTTACTTTGTTACTGTGCATAAGTACATTTTTCATGTATCTGTACTTTACTTAAGAAGATTTATTTACAGGTACTTTTCCCTTATACTTGTACTTTCTACTCCACAACCCTTTTACAATCTACAAATCTTTTAAAAGCTAACAATGGATCCATGGATCCAATCAGAGTGGGCAAGTGGTTTTACTTAAGAAGAAAATTTAATATTTCTATTTCCTTGTACTTTTACTTCAGTAAAATGTTTGAGTACTTCCTCCACCACTGGACTTAATCCAATGTTACTGCCTCTGCAAGCTGATATGGCTGAAGCTCGGAGCTTATTCAAACTAAAATTAATTTGTGGAACCTACTGAATACGGGATGTGAATTTTTCATTTTCACTGTTTTATCTCAATTTGATTAGCACTGCAGAAGTCTGACTATCTCAATGAAGTCTGGTGAAACATTAAATAGGCCACAGTGAGGAAGAATGATGAAGAACAGCTCTCTCCTTTCTGGGTTAGCCAACAAAATGGTATCTGTCCCCAGCTCAGTGCTCATCACATTTATAAAATTGCTTGACCAGAGCAGATATAAAATTGTTCATGTAATAAGCAGCTCTAATTCAAAAATCTTTCTGTATCATTACTTATTTGTTAGTATGACAGAGCAAGTTTCTTTTATGAGAGACAGAGGCTCTAAATTAAAATCCTAATTAGACAAAATAGTGCCAAAGGTAAAATTATCATTAATACATACAAATACCACTAAAAATCAATATGACTGACCTCACCCATGAGGACCTGCAGGTACTTTTCCTAAATACAGTTAACGCTGATATCATAGCTCCCACTCGGTCTTTTCTGTAACGTGTGAAAATCTACATGACGCTGAATCAGAGTGTTCCTATTTGTACATCCTGATTTCCGAGGTGGGTGGACTCGTCGTGTCTCTTCTTTATTTAGCTGCAGACCCTCCGGAGCCCTTCGGTTTTTTTCACACATTTGTGAATTTTATGACTTCAATCAGGACAAATCTTAACAGGTATCTGTAGTATGAGATGGTCAGAGACACACATCTGAGAGGAGGAATCATTAAAGGAGGAAAAATTACACATAGCTAGATCTAAAGAAAGGAAGATTTCATTATTTTGATCATATATTTTAACCTTTCCGCCTGACACAGTTAAAAATACTATTGTGTTTTAGTCTGTGGTGCCAAAATTTCGACTTTGAGCAGGTGTCATATCAAATAAACCAGAACGTGCAGAGGTATTGATGGGAAGCGATCGTGCTCTCACTGATGAAGTGTGTCTGCAAACTCTGCAGACCACTGGAAATGGCCATGGATCAATCTGACGGACATACAGATTTAAAACATGTGCCTAGACACAAAACACAGTCAACAAGAAGTCTCATGAGACATCCAGCAGAGGTTGTGATATTACATTTTATAATTTTTTTTTTCTTCCTTTGCAGATACTTTGAATGACTCCAAAGGAAAATCGTTTACTGGAATACAAAACACTTCCAACAGGGAATTGTTGCTTCAGTGATGGAGACACTGAACAGATTCTGGAATAAAGTTGCACTGAAAACTTTGATGTCATGTGATGGAGATTCAAGATAAACAAAGGTCTTTGACCTTTACTGAGCTTTCTTTTCTTTTCTTTTGAGAGATTGGCTTTAGTCCCTGGATTTCTATTTTAGTTTAGACCGATAGTATGAGGCCAAGCATTGAAATCTGGATTTAATTCATTTTTGGGACGACCTGCAATAAAGAGATCACAAGAACAAATCATACATTTTTTGACATTTGACCATCACATGACTAAATTTTGTCTCTGTTGCATCAGTTTACACAGAATGCAACACATGGCAAAACATTCAACTTCAAGGGATCCAGTAAAAATGATAGTTCACAGAAAATGTGGAAAGAAGCTTCTGCAGTCAACTAACACATCCCTGCATATGTCTTTTTTCCACTGTGGAAGTGTGCAGCCAATCACAGGCTGGAACAACCCTGCGGCAGTAGTCAAGACAGATGAGTGGATCAGCACAGTGCACAAAGAGATTCACTATAGATCCCACAGGGTTAAGGTGCGGAAGAGAAGAGGGCTACTCATTATCTGATTGGACTATTTAATGACCACCACTGGTTAAACCCACAGACGGATTCGGTTGATTTTTGATGTCATTGTAAATGGAAATGATTTTAGTTCAGGGGGCTGACTTTAACAAAGATTTACTTGTCTCAGGAGAGTTTATAGATACAAACTGCAGTTTTGTGTGGGCTTGATATTTTTGGATGAGAGTAATCTGTGTTGCTAGCCATTTCTGTACACTGTGTAGTATAAGACAACACAGACTGACATATGAGACAAGACAAGTACACTCATCCCACACATGAGGTGCCGACTTGAGCTTCTTATTATTTCTGGCTCGATCAATGAATTCTTTCGTGGCCACTAGAAGAAATTCTGTGAAGTTACTGACATAAAATCCAGCGACCCAGCTAAGCCCTGCTATGTGACCTCAGCCTGAGGATATCATTCCTTCTTTTCAAACTCCTGGACCGCAGAGCAAGTAGAGATGATGCAGACTTTATGCAATATTTGGAAAAATGACTTGTCTGTTACTTTAAAACACAGTGTGTTCTTTTTTTTTTTGTTTATATCTCACGAAAAGTTCAAGGAAAAGACACGTCATTGTTAAAACGATGAAGTAGTTCGTTGGACTGAGGAGGACATGACCTCTGACTGACACTGCTTTTCACTTTGACCTCATGCTTTGTGACCTTTCTCCTTCATACCTGTTTCAGATGCTCAAGATAAAGAAAAACGTTTGGCTTAAGAACAAAATCCACTGATTAGTAGCGTCGGATTGGCTTGAGTCAGCAGGGGAGGAGTGTTCCCTCACTTAAGGTCAGTGTGTTGAAATGAAAATTTGGCAGATAGATATTAAAAGACTCAGCTGCACTAATGCTACACAGGCCTTGTATTACTGCAGGTATTAGAGTATTGATGTGTGTGTACGATCCGTGATGGAGCTGAGGGTAAAACACACATTAACAATGTTGTATGAAGGCATGTCCCTCATGGTGTTAATGCAAACAATGGATCAATCAATCGCGAAGCACTTTGAATTACACTTTCCTGTATGAGAAATAAAGTTTGATTGAGAGAAGAAGAAGAAGAAGATAGAGAAAGGTTCTTACCTCTGGTGTGGCAGGGTTAAACGTCACACTGAGCACCGTGTCTGAGTGTTTTTGGAGTTTGTGTAGAAAGCTGCTGCTTCGGACATCATACACGTAGGCCTGAAATGAACGAGGTGGACGACGTGAACATGAGAAGGAGAACTCAACTGTTCAATGCAGTGATGTACAGATGTATTATACGATAAACCAACATAAAATGAGTTGCGTGGACCCACCTAGTGAAGCTCATTATGTAATAAAAACAATACACAAGCATGTTTAGTCTGAAAAATAACCACATTCAATTAGGTGAAGCTGCATACAATGTCAATTAAAAGACACAATCAGATGCAAACAAATAAGTCAACAAATCAACACAATACTCAATACTTGGGGTGAAAAACAAAATATATATATTGTCTCTTTGCCAAATTCTTATCACTTTTATTTCTTTTAAGTGTAAAATCAAGTCACATTTATTGATACGGCAGTTGAGCCAAAATGCTTTACAGTCAAAGCAAAGCAAAAGCCAAGACAGAAAATAGTGTGGTGATAAAATCAGAATCAGACGATATCAAATTGCAAAATACTGTAAAGTTGACTGCCAATGACTTTTTTAGCCTTTAAATAACAAGTCTTAGTCCCAGACTCATGCCTCTCTAACACTGAGCACTTCAAAATGAATTGGTCATCGAGACCGATTAACAATCTAAATGAACCCTTGCAGACAGATTGATGTTATTCGCTGATTAGAGGTAATAAATGCCTTGTTAATAAGCTCGACGTGTGGGTGTTAAGTAGGTGCAGATTTCACACTTCGGCCTTCGCTGCACACAAAACATTTGCACAGTGCTGGTGTAGACATCTCAGGAGCAACACGTCTTACAATCTGTAATCTTAAGTACAATCAGTGCATTTTAAGGCTCATTCTTTTCGCTCTGGTGCCATGAGCACAGATAAAAATAGACATGAAGATGTTTGCTCCCAGACGGCAACTCATCAGATTCCTGCAGCTGTTTTGTATTATGTACGTGAGCTCTGTCAAATGGTCCACGGGTAGAGTGTCTCTCTGTCTGAAGCGTATGACGTGTGTGGTGCCTAACAGGGTCTTAGATACTTGGAAGAGTAGAGTTCTTTCAGGAATTCTAAAATATCACAAGGATTCACAGATGGATCAGTTTATATGAACGGTAAGTGAAGCACACAGCAGTGGCATCTTGATTAATGTAGATAAAATTCTAAATAATCTAATTCATATTGGATATTAAGAGCGGCGGTCAAAGTAGGAGAAAATTATACATATTGTGACTGAATGTATAACAGGTTAAAATCTACCACAGTGAAATCTTACTCTGGTTAGATTGTTTTTGGCCTTATGTTCTTTGGAAAATGTGTAATATGATCTAGGGAGTCTTTGCAGAGAATGGAGGTTCTTCTTTTCCATGATTGCTTTTTGATATATTAAGACAAGTATAAATGTGTCTGGCTTATCGAAGTCTCAAGGCAGCTACAAATAAGTACGCTGCAGCCCTCTACCGAATATACACGAGCCCGACAGAGATGCTCTCAAATGTCGGGTGCTGTGCTTGAGTCCCCATAATTAATGATAACCAGTGGCATGCATATATTATTCCACTGCTTTCTACAGGCACACACACCCGAAGAAAAGAGAGATGGATTAGGAAAAGGGAGGCAGTCTTTTGAAAACGTTCTTGAAAGCGAGTATAAGGCACCGTCTGGAAAAGCAATTAAACAGTTCTTGCTTCGACATGAATGTTGAATTTCTATGGAAAAAGGCTCAGGTCCAAATAAAGATTGCCGAGCGAAAACAGTCCTCACCGTAAATGGAGGTGAAACTGATAAAGTTATGCTACTGTTTCCCTGATGTATTTCACATGTACAAGGTCGAGTAAGATGTAAACAATAGAAAAGAATGTGTTATTTATGTGTATAATGATTTACTGTAGTAGAACTGGAGTTGGAATACTTTGCTGAATATGCTTCTGGTGAATAGTACCTACAAATAACACAAATGGCTGCAGATACAAAAGATCGTAAGTTCCATTCAGGACGTATCTGTCCCTTTGTGTTGTGGTATTTTGGGCCTTCATTTAACTGTAATATGTTTGGTGATTTCTTCCCAAAGATTAAACATAAACTAACCAGACACTGATATTCACATAAACGTAGTTAAGTATATATTCGTTTTTCTCAGCTTTTAAAATGCCACACTCACCATCAAACTTTTTACAACTTTGTGAATATCACTGCTTCAAACTCATAAAACCACATACAGCTGGGTATGTGGGGGTGTAAGGTGTAAAATTTACTTTCCTCTGTGACAATAAAACGACCTAATTTATGCTGTCGGTGGCTTTAACAGACAACCTCTTTTTCAATCTCTCAGCTGCTTTGTCCCCCCATTCAATTTTATGTAAATCAAAAATGAATCTTTTCAAATTGTTCTTACACAGAACCTGATTGTCTGAAATAGAATATTACCAGAGAGACATGGAAGATTGAAACACATTTATATATTTTTTAAAAAACTGAGTACAACTTACAGAGTTATCCTCGGAGCCTGTCGCAATGAAGCGCCCACACGGCGAGATGGCTGAGGAGCACGGATGGCAGCGATTTACGTGGTTCTCATAACGGCGTACACATCTGAGGAGGTGAAATAAACAGTGGTGAGAGAGGAATGCTGAGGTTAATAAACTCAAGCCAACCTGATGTGAAGGAGAGACTGAGTATTTGACAAACTATGTCATAATACAAAAACTGTTTTACTGAGTCCCTGTCGGATTGAATCAATATAATTCTGGTTCATTTCACTGCAATGTTCATATTAAGAACACATTCATATTTATAGTGTAAAATAACATAATTTAAGCCATTAAAAATGATTTTACCCTGGACTGTCTGTTCTGTAAAATAGAAAAGGTCACTGTTGTTAAGGATTTGATCTAAAAAGCAACTTTTGATATTCCTTCAGTGTGAGTACAGATGGTGTTTCACACATGAGTGCTCTCATTTTTATAGTTAAGTGACCTGAACGCTGCAGGAATAACCAAGGAGCCGAATGCCACCCTGCAGACTTCACATTTCACAAACATCTTAACCAGCCGAGGGACGAGGAGCTGAGCATGACTCAAGCAAAACACAGGAAAAGAGAAGCTAGTGGATGACGGATAGATCCCTCGAGCAACTTCTGTGTTGTTTCATTTGGTTTGCAACAGCATGTAATGTCTTTACAATGTCTTTACTGAACTAACTACTCAGTGGGCTTGGGTTTCTATACGGGCTGGCATGTTGGTGAGGCAGGGCTTTGACAGGGATCTGGGAAGAGCGTTTCTTTTGACATTCACATGCTAATGTCATTAAGCTGGACTGAAAGTAGGTCATATTCACTGGTGACCATAAAAGAAATGTGATATAACCAGTGCCAGTGACTTAGTGAAACATACACGGGAACAGGGGGGGGACACATGGGAGCACGTTCAACTGCTAAGCAATAAAACACAAACTTTATGAATGTGGAAATCTTTTTAAAACTGTGTCGCTGAGCTTTTTTTTTTTCCGTGGTGTTGCACTAAATCGAATCACTGAATTGTTTTTTGAGGCTTTCCTCTCATTTTTCCAGAACACTGTCACTGTCAGCTGACTGCACTATCTGCACTACAACGCAACCCTCACAAGAGTAAGAGTGGCTGCAACGGAGCACCTCATTAGACTGAACCGGCGCAGCCAAAAAGTGGCCACCTGACTGAAAAGAAAACAGAAACGACTGCTGGAGGCAGATGAATTCAGACGTAGCGACATCATCCATCCACACATGCTGGCTGCAGTTTGTGACCATACTAGTGTGTAACTCAAGACCTGAGAGTATGGTGTGTAAAGGTCGTAACTATTATTAAGACCCAGGTGAGTTTATCCACTCATTTTTAAACACAGGCTGAAGATGATTGACAGCTAGTGCAGCCAATCAGAAAAAGTATTCATTAAGATATACGATAAAGCCCCATGTGCAGGTTATTCTGAATTTAAGAATATACTTATAAGCATTGGGTCATTGCTGTAGTGTGAGCGCTACTCATGACAAATCTGACCTCTAATAATTGTGATGCATAACAAGACGGATGAAATGCATCTGTTTCTAAATCCCCCATCAGGACATCTGGAAAGGTCTGCAGCAAAACTGACACGACCTATCACCATCACGCTGATAAGAAGAAGTTTAACAAGTTAGAGTAAACACTCTGCTGCTTTTCTAGGTCAGACTGTGAATCTAATGTTTGACTGAGGGAGAGGAAACGCTGAGCTGAATCCCACACACACACACACACACACACACACAGTGAGTGATGAGTATCCGGCATTTGTCTAATGACTATCACAGACAGCACTGGAGGGTCTGATCCTCTTGAGTGGGAGCCTGTGCGGTTACTGAGTCCACCTGGGTATTCTGTGTCAGTCATCACAGTAATCATCAGGCTAATCATAGCTCATTACTTGCAGCCAATACATTTCACCCCGTGTTGCAGCGTCAATGCAAATCAGGTGAAAATGTGCATGTTATGGTTCTATTTGATATAAATACATCAATGATGTATTCATCATAGAATTTATTACTCAACATGAATTTATCAGTTGATGGAAATTCCAGGAGCTTTAAGGGGAATAAAGCCTCACTGAAGAGAAACTGATTGCCATCTGTTCTCTTAGAATCGGCATCTTACTAGGTCAGACTTCTAACTAAATACTGGTGTGTAGATCCCTCAACAGGAACCTGCAAGGGGTCAGTAAAGGGTCGGGGGTTGAAAAACAAACTTTTGTTGATAAAACTCTTTGTACAAGTGTGTCAAACTCTCAAAAACCATTATCCTCATTCGATCTTTGAGGAATGAACATGAATGTTTGTGCTTCTGTCTGAAGAGGAAGGCGCTGAGGATTCTCTGGTGACAAGGCAAAAATAAAGTTAGGATGAAGTTTCAGAAATTTCCGCTCAGTGAAATGTACATTTCCCACTGTGGTTTTCTTCTGAGAATTCTTTAGTTTGAAAGAAGACACGGTAATCACCCCAATCCTGTCCCAACATAGATCTTCTGTCAATGTTGTTGTGTCTAATAAGAACACAAGTCCATTAACTTTGCATGTCAATGACTTCTGATGATGTTTCTTTTAATAATGTCTACAATGAATACATTCTCAGTGTTCATAGCTTGTGTAAAATAACTCCATTATTGACTGTGACTGCTAAACATGGAAATTGGTTTGAAATAAAACAGAACAGATCAGACACACTAGTGTCAAACATCACTGCCTATCAGTCAAGTTTAGGGAGAGGCCTCATCTCACTGACGCATGGAGTTATTATTATATTCCATGAACATGCTCAAGTAACTTCTGCTTATTCTGAGAATTGTTTTTTATTTCATCTACCAGTCATCTGTCAGCATACTGAGAATTGGTTTTCCACATCGAATACAATGTTCTTCATGCTCTTGTTGTCATATCCTGAGCAAAGAATTGAAAAATGAAATCTGCATAAAATAATCTTATTACCAAGAAGTGCACTCACATTAAAGCCTTACTTTCACTCACGCCAAACTTTGTTTCAAGAATTTTTATATTACCTTATTATATCATGAGGAGTTTTTATGAACACAAAACCCAGAGAACTATTTTTACTACTTCCAGTTGTTGCAAGAACCACATAAAAAGAAATACAGAGAAACAGTAACTTTGTGTTTGTTACGAGCGGACAAAGACACATACGTTTTATCAAAGAGGAAAATAAAATTAACGGGGTTGTCTCAGGGCCGACAAAATGAACATCCAACATTTCACCCCAGAAGAACAGATTCTGAGGGATGCTTGATGACAGCTCTCAGGAGCAGAAGTTGACCTGGAAACCGGGTACAAATATTTATCAGATAGCACTACGGGTTTGATGGAGCCTGGGATGAGGAGTGGAAGCAATTGCTGACACGAAAGAATGAAATACTCAATAATGTCTTCTACTGGGCCAAAGAGAACATTTTGAAATCCAAGAAGGCCTACTTGAATTATCTGCCTTATATGGATATCTGCTACTGAGGGCTAAAGAAAAATATTCTCAGCTACGTACTTTGGAAACTGAGCAATTGCCGATTTACTCATCAACTTAGGAATGTTTGTCTAAGACAAAAAGAAGTTGCTGTAATTTGAATATAAGGTCATTGTGCACTGTGAGGAATTGCAGTGGAATAAAAAACTATAATGTTTTTTATAAATGATAACAACGATGCCAACTTATCAAAGAGGCTGCAGGAGGAACAAATACCTGAATCTGAATTCAAGGCAAAACACCATCGTGTCTTAATGAGGAAGAGATTTCAGTATTGTATGTCAATCATTCCAAATATTACTATCAGCCAAGTTTTTATATTGTCACAACCTAACTAAAGGTATTCGGTATCAATACTTTTCATATTTTTCCATACAGTTCTCTAATAATTTTCCTCAGCACAGGATAATTCAATAAACATCCATCAAACTTTCCTCTCCTGATTTTCACATTAAAGGCGTACCCATTACAAATCCAACAGAACACACAGAATCAATACCAACCTAAGTGTGCGGAGGTCCCAAATCTTCACACCATCTGTGACTGCACTGGTGAGAAAGAGGTTGCATGAGTCTGGTGCCTGTGTGCTGAACATGGAGCCCTGTGAAATGTATAGGAAAGAAAAATGAGTCAGCACATGCTTTGTGGACAAAGGTTGTCTTATTGTCCAGAAATGGAATCTTATTTTGCATTTGACATTGGCAAACCTAGAATTAACATTATTTCAGGAAGCATTACCAAAGCCAACTTGACACACAATGTAAGCACATTTTGCCTGGAAATCAAACTGACGTGGAAGCACAATTTGTCTGTTTGTCATCTCCTATCTTTTATGGAGCAAACTGAGATCAGCTTTAGGTTTATATATAGAGAGGTCCCACCGCACATCTATACAGAAATTCCAGGTCTTGTGAGGGAGAGTGAGAGGGCAGTGGTTGGGGTGTTTTTTGTTTAGATTTCCATTAAGAGTGTGAGAACGGCAGTCTGAGAGGGCATTTCCAGTTCCATTTTCCGAGAAGTTCTCTGCTCTGATGAGTTCCAGGTGAATTTTCCCAAAGAGGCGATGGAAATTTGAAGTGGGAAAAGTTGCTTCACATGCCGCAGTTCCTGATGTTTGATCCGCCTCGGGACAAGAAACCAAGAGCGGGGAGAGGAGTGATGCTATGTGTGCAGTCCCCCAACAGGGGCAGTCCCTCTGATCTGCAGGAATTAACCCTGCAGCACCCATAGGCCCTCAGGCACCCGGGCGGAGGAACCCGCACTGACGCAAGAGCCAAGCTGAAACAACACACAGCGGGCTGTCCACAATGTACGGAACACAATAGCTGGCGTGACAAAGAACAGGCACCTCTGGGTAGGAGTATGGTTAGCTGTGCATCATAGTTGAATGGGTTAATGGATTTAATCCATACTACTATCTGTAGTGTGTCCAGCTAATCCAGGCTGCGGATTAGCTGGACAATCTGCATGTGCCAAGTATGCACAGGTCAACATTCAAAAGTGACTGAGGTCAAATCCTCAAGGTCACTGGGTACAAGCCTGTGTCTCATGCAAATGCAAACTACTCTGTTTTCCAATAAGTTATAGAAGCATCTGGAAATAGGGTCAAAATGTACATTATCAAAATAAATGGTTTTGTTGTGATTACACATCAGGCGAGTAGGCTGCTCATCACTGCATTAAGTATGTGGCAGCTGTAAAGAAATGTAAATAATATGCAGCACCCCAAACTTGAATGCATGAATTTATCACTAATATTTATGATTTAATTCTGAGTGATGTGCATTACATCACTTGCATAGCATTATAATGGATGTGGACACTGGCCCGAACAGTCAAATTGTTAGACACCAGCAAATTGAGCCCACATTGGTCCAAGACAGTGATGAGGGAGTGAGGCCATGTAAAAACCCAAACAGCATCATGGAATAGTATTTCCAAGGCCATCATCCAGCATGGAATCTCCTCCTGCCGTCTCCTCTGGCAGCCTTAATCCTATATGCAACAAGGATTTACATTAAAACACTTAAATGAATGATACCAGTGATGGAAATATTTGTGTAACCACGACATACTCTTTAACCATGACCTTCTTCATTCGCACCACAAACTAACACTAACACTCATATCCTCCCAAAGAATAGCTGTGCATTATGTTACTTGTGCAACACATTAATAAACGTCTTATGTAACACTACAACCATTGCCAAGTAGTGGACACGAGATTAAGACGGACTTGACGTCCAGCCAAGCAAATTCTTCACCATGTGGATCAGGGCCACTCAGTCTGCCGTGGAGTGAGGAGATATCTTTGTTCTCAAAGGTTCTTGTCAAACCATAATTGAGGAAAAAAGTTGGTGAAATACATTTGATTAATGTATTTTTTTCTGGAGGATATTAAGGCACATGGTTTAAGGGAACATGCCAGGAGGAAACTGGGACAAATGTAAAGCATGAAATAATTCAGCATTTCAAGACTGACACTGAAAGTACTGTGTTTTAAATAATGTAAAAAGGTAGAGCTGAGGCTGCACACTGTTAAATAAAACCTTAGACTTTAAATGTGCTCACCAGTCACAATCACGTAAAGAGGAAAAATGCTGAAATCGTGTTACTTCAGGACACGAGACACTGTAATTTACAGCTATTCCTTCAATGACCAAAATTAATAAAAAAGATATTAAAACAATTTATAGTCAGAAACAAAACTCTGCTCCGAGTACTTTATAATTTCTTATGTCTAATGAATTTATGCATAGAGACCACATATAAAACACGAATCCTGTACTGAATGTCACTTCACATATGCTTCACATTAAAAAGAAAAGTATATAATCTTACTAAAATGTAATAAAGATAATTAATACATAGTCACTGTCCAAATAGAAATGCTAAATTTCCATTACAGTCTATTTTTTTCATAAATTTTTTTTCGAAATGTTAAATGGCCTCACCTTGTTCTGTGAAATGCAGTGCGCAGCTCGGCTGTGGGCATCGAGCAGCTGTGAGGCAACTGTGCTCCTGTTCATATCAAATACCTGAATGGATCGATCTGAACCACACAGCAGGACAATGTCTGAGGCAGCTGTTAAGAGACGTTATCACAACTGTCATTGAAAAACTATAATCCTGCTTTTGCAAAGAGTCGGCTTTCCCTCATTCTTCAAGGACCACAGCTCGAAACTAGCGCTGAGCTGGGCAGGTTGTTAATTACATGAGTTTGGTTTTGTTTTGCCAACAGATATAAAATATAACGTAACAATCTGTTTGCTATCTCGCAGACAGTCTCTATCATTCTCTGATGTGATGCAAGAGTGAACACTGAAGCCTTTAGTTGTTTTAGTTTTCTGAAGTTGACTTTCTACAGATGTCGTTATTACAACATCTGACTCTACATTGAGAAAATATATTTCAAATGAAGTGAAAATAAAATATCCAATATTATGATAATACAAATAACAGATGATATTTTCACATAGTAATTTCTGTTACTTCATTCATGTAGATTGTGTATATTTATGCAAGTGATAGCCTCCTTTAGCCATGGTATATACTCACACGCTCATTTGTCTAAAAGGAGGGATTTTTAACGATATATACAAGTTAATCCATGATTTACACAGAGAATCCAACAAAAGATATTTGCCGTGCACAGAGCAGCAGCAAGTAATTCCCGACAGGATCTCACTCATCCAGACACAGCCCAATTCAGTGGATTTATTGGAAAATAAATACATTGTAAACCCTAACAAGGGGCAGGAATGTAGACATTCCTGAAAAATTAAAGACGGCTAAATGATTTACAGGTAAACATCAGCAGTGGAAGGCCAGAGGCAACATGTAAAGGCTTTCTAAAGCACAGACAGATTGCTGTGGTTGACGTGGAAGCGGTCCAACCAGATGCTTCGAGTAAAACTACGGAAGGCATAGGTTCTCTCTGCCCTCCCCAGCATCAACGCAATCCAGACACCAACACTTCTCGTAAGATGAACAACAACAACAACAACAAGCAAAAAGGATACAAGAGAGGAAATCGTTGACAGCAGACAAGGCTGTGATGTCTGTTGATGATGCCGTTGTAAAGTGCTTGACCAATTTGACGGCACTCCGCTGCTGATATCTAGAAGAAAAGGATAAAAACCCAAAAATCGGAATTTTAAGATAATCTCTCCACACACCAATCACTCTAGATATTTGTCTGAGCAGTACGACTGAAGGAGAGAAGTAGGAGGCACTGCTGTTTTAACTGACTGATGACAATCTTTATCAAGCCATATCCAATAACCAATAAAGCAGTTTTAAATCAGAAAGCAAACTGTATTACCAACTCGCTACTGTATGTCTCTGCCAGTCTTTAAGCTGCAGTTTACATCCATCTCTGTCTAGACTCAAATGATACATGCAGTGAAGAATTCCAGGAATTTAATCATAATCATTAAATTTCAGAGTTATTTGAGTTACTGCAGACGTTTTAAGGACACAGGGATCTTGAGCATTGACCTACAAATTCTTATCAGTTTATTCTTGAGTCACAATGAATGTTTTTTAATTTGAAATAATCTACTCAAGGAGAATGGGATGTATGGATGGACAATCTGACAAACAAACCAAAGCTATATATGCTAAACTGTTCTGTCTATGCAGTAACCACATGGAATTACCTCTTGATGTCATCGTGTGTGGTGTCCACATCATACAGGTACAAGTACAGAGAGGGTCCTGATGCAAAAAGCAGAAATTTGTCGAGGTAGTAAAACTGAGCACCTCTTATGGGTTTGGAGAATGAGCTGCTACCCTGAAAGAGAGAGGACACAATTTGAAAGATAACTTAATTCAAGAAGAAGGATCATTAATTAGAATATATTTTATTAGTGTTTAGCTCTAACTCCATATTGCTTAATGGTGATTTGTGAAAGCAATAAAAAGCTGTATTCGTGAGCACCGTATGTTTTTTAATGGATCTAAATGATACATGCAGCAGTCTCAGTTGTAAAGTAGTATTCTGCACACACTGCCTGTGTCTGTGCCGTCCCCTTAAACCTTAACTTGCAAGCATTAATGTTAGATCATTTAATCTGAATTAATGTTTGCTTTATTCAGTTATTTGAGACTCTATTATGCAACAGGCAACTTTTGTCTATTCACAGTCCATACAGAAGAGGAAAAGATAATCTGTGACAAAAAAGGAGGTTAACTAAGAAAGAGACATCCTCATAATGGCACAGTTAGTCTGTCAAGGTAAAACTAACAGATGGGTTGTCCTGTCAGATGTTTTGCAACAAATATTTCACTCTATCCAGGTTTAGAGTTTCACCTCTCACCAAAAATCTGAAATCTTGAGACTACCGATCATAAGAAATCTGAAGGACTACAATGTGGTTTAGTTTTTTTCTTTCTGGAGATTGGGGTGAGCCAGAATTTTTTGTAATTCTGGCTCACCCCAGCAGCACTCTTGTCCCTGAAAAGACTTGCACTTGTTGCCAGGTTGTTTCACAAGAACACCAAGCAGTCAAAAAGCTGCAGGCCGGGTGAGGCTCAAAACAATCTCGCTGAGTGTGATGGTTAGCATCAGCGACTGGGACACCGTTGTTTTCACAGACCGTTGTTTTCACATGTCTTGGGAAAGTTGACACATTTCGGACTGTCCTATTAAAAGCCAGTCAAGTGAGGAGGGTCTGCGTATGATCAGACTTTTGGATGTTTCAAGTCCACAGATGCTTTGAATGAAAAGTCTCTATGTTTTAGCCAAGAAACACACCATCTTTCACCTCTGTTAATTTGGCTTTCCTGTTTTTAATTCCGTGAGGATGCTCTATTAGAGAAAGAAAAAGTGAGTTGAGCAAGCTTTATGTCATAATGTCAGAGATACTGGGTCTCAATTATCCTGGGGCACCACACCACCATATTTAACCACAGGCTGCAGCCTCTCCTTCACCCTCGATCTTTTAGTAGCAGTATATAACTTAATCACAGATCATAAAAATGGGACGTTTTACTTTGAAAGCCGAAACACTGTCGATACAGTAGCAACTGCAGTTTCACTGACATTCAAGTATGGAATAATTGCCTCATTTACAAAACTGCAATTACAGAAAAAAAAAACCCTTCCAGCAATCACAGCTGTCTTCGAAGACAAGCGTGAGAGTGAAAATTGCATTTGGCATGTGTCTGTAGTTATTTAGTTTTACTTCTGAACCAATATGAGTATTTAGACCTTCAGAGGGAGGACATTTTTAAAATATGAGGTCACTCTGACTGGTCCTCATTTCACTGTTTTCATGGTTTGGATTTGGGCTTAGAATAAGAAGTGAAAGTTTCATTAAGGCTCAAGGTAAAACCTGTAATAGTGACTGTTAAGATTAGGGTGACAGAGAGTAAAAACACAATATATATTATATACCTGTTCAAGTTTGAGTAAGTGAATTCTTTTACCATGATAATGGCAGGTTCTGTGCTGCCATCGGCCCAGATTCGAAGTGACCGGTCCTCTGACGCACTCAACCAGCACTGTCTGCTGAGGCTCCAGCTAACACTGCTCACTGGTTTATCATGGCCTGCACGCAGAGACACAGGGTCGAATTGAACTTGGAGAAATAGTGTGTGACTTCATCATTGACTTTTATGGTGCTGCTCAGTATCAGTGTAAAAAGAAGAGGACCACAATGACCCACTGGTCACCTCGACTTCTGTCCTTCTATCTCTGCCGCCCCCTTGTGGAGACTGTGTTTCTGTTGCACTCAATCCTTCTAGTTTTAAACAGATGCTCGATGTTATGCGTGGATATCAGGTTCAACCATAGTTTATCGGTGTCTGTTGGGGCAATGATGGATTAGATATTGTCTAAAATTGTGATCAGTTCAATCCTTGTGGGTCTTGGAAGACAATGTACCCTTCTTTATATCACCTTGGATTTACTGTCAAACAAAAACAGAGACACCAAGTTCTTGCTTTGGAATAAAACTATCTGTTAAATGAAAACTCTTTATCTACAGTTTTGATAGTGATAAGCTGACTAACTCAATATTTGGATTTTTCTGGAGTCTGTAATCATAATTTCACAGCTGGCAGAAACACTGAGGTGACTCGGGTATAAACTGTGTACGCCTGAGGTTTGTAAGGTGTGAATACTCGTGTTCGCTTCATGCACCTGTGAAGACAGCTGGATTGCCGGTAAGGGATGACTTGTACAGTAACACTGAGCTGTCGCCAAGACCACACAGGATGTGTTTTCCATCACCTAGGGGAAACAGAATTGTTTTATTAGGACATTTCTGTGAATAGCTGAGATATTATATCACCAAAAATAGAAATGTCATTTTTAAACATCATGCAGAGATGTGTTTTGCATGAAACAAGAACATTAATCCTAAAATAAAATGTTTTTTGCCAATCATAGCTTATAAATGACTGTTGTATCTGTGCAGGATATAACTGTTTGTCTGTTTTTCTCAGAAATACTTGAAGCTTCCCCTGCTGCTTAAGTATTGTAAATTGAAGCTATGCAATTAGAATAAATCTAAAATGCTTCCATGTTGTAAAATACTGGAAGTAGTTCAGACTTTACAAAGATTATCCATCAGGTCATCTGTATTACCAAACTACATGTGCTCTGTAAAATATCAGATACCACTCATATTTCTTTTACTACTACTTTGCTCTAAGAGTTAAATTTATCTTTACTCAACTTTGATTTGAAATATTTAAGAGAGAGGGAATGCCCATTTAAATATATCATTATAATATGTTGTACACATGGGAGGTGTGGCAGCATCAACATTGTCTCACCTGAATAATGAAGGCAGTTGACTGGTTTGTCAGTGATGGTGAGATGACTGTGTGGAATCGTGGGTGCTGCCTTGTCTGCTGGATAATCTCTGAGAAGTAATCCTCTAAATGATGAAAAACTTTTAGTCTTTAAATCAAAAATAACATTTTAAAACTCTCAGTATTGTATTTTTAATGATGTAGAACTTACGTATTTTTTTTAGCCGTCTTAGAGGAAGGATTCTTCTGAATATTTGTTTTGGGTGAGAACATATGACTTCTGAAAACCAAAAAAACATTTTCATCTGATGTTTCATATATCAGTTTATTTGATTTTGATTTTAAAGGTCTGGAGGGGTGGCTGTGTGTGTGTGTGTGAGTGTGTGTGTGTGTGTGTGTGTGGTTGAGGAAACTGACTGCAAAGATTGTGTCTCTGTAAACAGACCCTGATCAAAAGCTTTTGCTCACTGAGGCTGAAATAGCTAAAAAGGGTTTATGGGTGACAGCAGTTAAGTAGTTGATGTTTATCAAGTCAACACAATGAACAAGTGCCCCCTTAACAAATGAAAAAGGAAAACAAGGTTCAATTCATCCTTTAAATTAAAAAAAATATGTTTAACCCTCATTCAATTCGAGATAAATCAATAAACGGTAATTTGATTTTCTATGAAGCAACAAGTTAATAACCGACCGTGGGGCAGTGGTGTATCCAGATGACTTCACTTTAGTGTGGAAAACCAGAGGCTGCTCCTTTGTTCCTCCTTTGTGGAAATATATGACAAAGAAAGATAAAAGATAGGAGACAGAATCCCATTTAAGAGTCTGCAGATGTCAGGAATGAGCAGTCAAACAATATCACTCAGTATCATGGACTCCTGTGGATCATTTTCCATAATAAGAATGGAAGTAGTCATTATACAGTCGTGCCTTTTCATGAAATATACTATAGGAAAAGAAGATATAATACGAGTGACCATTCTGTGCTGTGAGGATTAGGTGCATCAGCCACAAACTGTGGGACGGTTCATTCTGCTCCCTGTTCACTGTCAGTGCCTTTACTATATTACAATGAGCTCACTTTTTCCACAGCCATTAAAATGTGTGAGGCTTTCCAAAAACTGCTCTCCTGTCAAACACGAGTGGCAATTTAAGACTTAAATTGCATTAGAGAAAAATATACTGCTTTGGTTTTCAGGCTTTACCACAACTCAACACTAGTTTATCATATATGGCAGAGATTAACCTGTGAAGATGGGATTAATCAATTACATTAATAAATAAATGACTATAAACTACAACTAAATATGGACAAGTTAACTGTGTGGTAAATATCTTTACAACAACACAACAAGCATTTGACAGTAAAAGCCAGCAACACACAAACCACACGTTAGCAGTTTTAATGTTAACAGCTGAACAGGTTCACCTGAGTGTGAATCATTCACAAAGTGTTTTAGTATTTAATACACAACTCATTGTTAGCCAGGTCCAAACACAATAATGAAATTTAATACAAGCGAACCCATCTAAATCAAAAGGAAAGCACATCTGGATCTGTTCAAACTACTCCTATGTGAGAAAGATTTTCATCTTTGATGAGCAGCACCAATGTTCTCTGGTTTTGGCTGGAATCATATTTTTTTGTGAAATCTCAGAACAATCAGTCCGTTCCCATTTCCTTGGATTTTGAATTGAAATTTGAGCTTCACAGGCACATTTTGTCTCTATCTGTTGTCTGTTAAACAGTAAACTACTGTTGCTACTATGTGTTGTTGCTTTTACATCAGAAATATTCTTCTCGTCTTCCTCAGTTCAACTTAATTTGTTGTTTCATGAAGAATTCTTCATTGTATCAGAGCAAATGTATACGGTTTTGTGAACCTTAACTCGGGTCAAAGTGGTACTGTGTATCGTCTCAATCGGCACAGACAGTTTTAAATCCAAAGGGATCGAAACCTCTTGTGCCACTGGTTGTGCAGCACCTTCATCCATTGTTTCGTGTGAGATTATAGGTGCTGGAAGTAGCTTTTGATCCAGAACAGATTACAAAATTAAGCATTTGAGGCCAGAAAACGAATTACCTGGCGATGCAATCACTTGACGTTACTTAACAGCCCTATTGACCCCCTGTTGATATATAATGGTCATTTAGTTTTATGGGGCAGTAAAATCCTCATCATTTATGCTGACTTTACTTGAGACGCTATTTGAAACAAAGTGAGAGTTTCCAACAAATTTCCAAGTCGGATCACATCTGCATAAAATCACGGCAGTTTGCTGAGTGCTCCTATTAACAGCACTCATTATGTCACACTCAGCATAGGCTGTCCTCGCCATTATGGCAAATTGAGTCTCATAATATAGAAACTCTTTAATTCAGCTTTACACATTAGGATGTCAAGCATCTGATGCAACACGGTTTTGTCTGCAGTCAATGGGCCTTCATGCTGTGTTCAGGTCTGTGTCTGAAAACCATGAGTGGTTATTTGGCTGTTTGGACTGACAACTCATAAAAAAATCTATCACTACCTTAGATTATGTAATTTTAAGAGGTGACAGTGGTTCGTTTTATAGCTTGCGCTGCCTATATTAGAAGGGAAAAGGCTCAGGGGTTTATGCTGAAATAAACCACTAACTTGTCCTCGGTCAGAGACGGGGAGACGGCAAAACTCAGACCTCCGTCTGAGTCAGCTGATGGAATGTGGTCCAAGAAAACGACTAAATAACTCAAGCTTTTAAAAAAGTACAAACCATAGCAAGTTTATATAACTCTAAGGTATTATTCTGAGAGTAACCAGAGTGTGTGGTGTGAGGTATTGACTCATTGACCTGTGTAAAGTGGGGCACTTTGTAAGAGGAGGAGCAAGAAGTAAAAAGGTATTTGAAGTATGGTAACTAAGGACATACAGCAGAAATCATACAGCACTTGGAGAATATACTGGCGAGCCGGAGAACATAGTAGAACTTAACAAAAAGGTACCGTAGTTGCTATAAAGCAGTGACGCTAGTTACTGGAACACTGGTTAAAAGCTTGAGACACATGTGAAATCTGTGTAAAGGAGGTTAAGAAATTGGTTTGCTGTCATTTTTGTGTTTAGGATTTTTTTTGCACAGGACAAAATCACGGCTCAGTGATGCACTGAATAGTGTATTAACAGAATCAGTGGTTATATGGGGTAATTACAGGTTGCAACCTAGAGTTTGCTGGCTCTCTAAACTGTGTCCTGCAAACACATTTCCCCTGGGTGCCAGAATTTGTAGAACACACATCCATATTCAAATTTTGTAAAAGTGATGTGATGAAGATGAGGTGGGTTTGTGACAAGAGACATTGATTAAGACACTAACAGTTGCCTCTGCAGGGACCATTTTAAACTTCATTGAGACAACTGGGATTTACATATACATACATTTGCTGACAGCCCATCCAACAACTTCATCCAGCTATGCAACAGGATTCAGGCATCCCATGTCAGACTGGTGACATCATTCAAAAAGTATAATAGCACCTGATTATTATCATTTGGATAAGCCACCAGCTTCACTTTACATAATATATGTTGTGACACGACAACAGATATGTTATCTGCACTCGCAACTCTTTTCACAAAGCTCCTTCAGACTTGTGTCAGACTTACAATGGAAGAACATTTTCCTTTCCAGGAGTCACAGAGGTTTATGGTGTAATTTGTATATAATTCCGCAGATATCCTTAAGAATACACGAGGTGAAAAGGCAGCACAGTGAGTAGCAGCAGTCTGTAAATGTTTGTGGTATTTGGTCTGACATTTCAGTCACGCAGCACTCCTAGACTCCCGTGAAGATGTCCTACATATTGAGGCTCTGGCAGCCCCCTCTCCTCCAGCTGTGGGGAATCCAGCTTTAATACTGGCTTTCTCAGAACGAACTCTGTGAGTGCAACATGTAAACCTCAGTATAGAATATGTCTCCAGCAGAATAGTTTCAAGCTGCCAGACTCTAATGATACACCAAGGAACCGCAAATACTCTCACTTTACGTAGGAATCCACTACTGCAAGGAGCAACCTTTCAAAAAAAAGGAACCAATTGGGGATTTTCCCCGTGTAAATGGGTTGTTCTATTATAATTCCAAGTACCTGCCTACGTGGCAAATAAAAACTGAAAAAGCAATCTAAGTATGAATGTCAACACAATGCAAAAGATTTAATCTTGTCCATTCTCAGTATTTACAGATAATGAGGAGGTTCTCAGAAGCTTTTGTAACAGGCAAAGAGACTTCCTATAAACCTACAATAAATGCAAATTAAAAAAGAAATAATCTGCGGCAAAGAAAAACAATGAGCCAGTCATACAAAATGGGTCATAGTTTTAAACCCACAGTCAGCAGCTCCCTTTTTTATTGTACAAGCATTAGTATAAGCGAGAGGTAAGTGAGTGCTGCGACGACAACAGGGATGCTGACCTTTCTTTTTAGGATGACTGGGTTCCTTCTTCTTAAACTGAGCGTTCAGAGGAGATTCAGGCAGCGACGGAGAGCTGAAACAAGGGAGGGGGGAAACAGGGGGAAAGAGTGACTGGAAATGAAGGAGCAGAGCACTTTTTCCACCGTTATGGATTATTAGTCCGTCTAATTCTCAGTACCGTGATATTGTTGACTCATGAAAAACCAGATGGCGGGAATGGCTGTAATAGGCCGAGTTAATATGGAAATGTCAGAGTCAGAGGGAGTCACAGGCAAGAGGCCAACTGAAAAACAGGCCACTCTCATTTGTCTAACTGCTGCTGGTGAATTCAGGTGACCAATGTCTGAGAGGACGTAAATAAATTCTATAACTACTGAACGAGCTTCAGCTCATAAATGACAAATACGTTAAAGCAGAAACACACAAAACGTTTATTGGTGCTGCTGGATTTTTGCTCAATAATCATTTACAGAGATTGAATTGATTGATTAATTTCATTCCTTCCCCCAGAGCACAATGTTTGGCATTTATATAATGTTGTTATTGTGAGAGTAATAAGTATGATTTTCTAGATTAAGGAGTGCATCCAGCATGGACAGCTTTATTTAATCTCATGTGGATTTAAAAGCTTACACATGTAAAAAAAAATGTTTATATGTTAAATTGTTCACCGAGCAGAGCAGTTCCAGGCTGGAAACAAACGAGTATGTGAGCTACAGAGAAGCAGTTGTTTTCTCTCATTTCTGTCTTTTGTGGACTGTAATACTGCCACGGAGTACACAAATATAAGAATAACAGATTATTATTTGGAGTTCAAATAGCCGAGATAGCATATTAGTATTTTTAGAAGCCCATTTGTATACAAGGTTTGGCCAAAGGATTTTTGAGCAAGATACTGACTTTTATTTTAGTCTCTATAGTTTGAAGAAAGCAAACAAAAAGACAGTCTTTACTTTCAGGGTCACCATACTTTAGCATCGACAGATATTTGCCTTCAATTTCCAGGTTTACCTCGGAAACACTGACAAGACTTCACCATGAGTCCAGATCATCTCCAGGTCACAAAGATTTAACTCCAACAAGGCCACACTTGGAGTGAACAACGAGGTCACTAGGAACACCATCTGTGTGACAAAGAATTCCAGAATGGATTAATC